AGTGCCTCCTTAACGGTACCAGAGTATACTCTGTTGTTGGAGGTCTCAAAGCAGGACCTGGAAAAGACCTGCATGTCTGCAGAAAGCCCAGCTCCATGCAGCCTTGCTCTGTGCCCCTGTGTAAACCCAGCTCAGGGGTTGGGCCGCTCGCAGGCTCAGGGAATATACCTTAGTGCACCTCTCCTGTATCACTGAAGGACATCGGGCTGCCTGGCCACTCCCCAGTGTGCAGAACATCTGGCTCTGGATATGGGTTTTCCAAGAGTGACCCTTTTCTTAGTCCAAAAGATCCATATACCACTGTTTATAAGTCACATAGCATTTCAAGGGGATGAGGATCATATGGAAGGGGATCACCCCACCCAGCCCAAGCTGCAGCCACCTCCAGTAGGATGTAGCAGAGCCAAAGGCAGTGGCAGGAGCTGTCCTGCACAACTGAAGTAAAGGAATAGGTATACGACAACCAGTTAAATCGACAGGGGATACAAGGAGGCTTACATAAGAACTTAATAAGAACTCTTATCGTAATACCACTGGTCTTTTGTAATAATACCAACAGTGCTTTGTGTTCCTCTAAATGTCTGCTTCTGCATGCTCAGAAGCTCAGTAATGAACTCCTCCTGTGACCCCCATTACACTGCTGCACAGATAAAGACACTAAGTCACAGCAGGCCAGTTTTGGTTCCCTAGACTCACCTTCTCCCTGGCTAAGTGGCTGGACTGGTGTGCCAAGCATGCATGAAGAGGTCCAGCTGTCCTCTAGAAGACATCTTTGGGATTTAAGGCAAGTCCCCTGTCTTGGTCTTCTGTGCCCCTGTTGCAGTAAAGTTCATGAATCTGAGGAAATATTGCTCTGCAGGGATCGTCAGTGGTCAGCAGTTTTCCTCTTCTCTGTGGATGGTTCAGTGTATCAAAACTCGAAGACAAGGACTGTTCACTGTGGCAAACGTCGGCAGGGGGAGCCAGGGTAGGAGGCATGCTGGCCCTTGCACTGCAGGCGTAATGCTGATTTTGCAGTAGAAATAAAGCTGAGCCATCAGAGGAGGTGCCCTGTGAGAAATCTCCCCCTGCACGGTGCTCCGGGGCTCTGTGGCTCAGGCTCAGCCTAGCAGGTAGCCCACAGCTTGAAACTGAGACCCAAATCAAAACATAGTCAGTGCCGAGAGGGCTGCACCCATGAACCATTTTGCTCTGGAGAGCAGTAGTGTTAAGCCTACACTGATTTACACCATGACAAGGACAATAAACAAACACATCAGGAGTATTGACTAAGCCTTGTTCACACTGAAGTTGGAAGGGAGATGTCAGCCCTTTGTCACAAAGGCAAATGCCTGAGCTGGAGCCGTTGCCCTGGATTTCTCTGTTACGGAAGGAGAGGAGCAGGGCTATCCAGAGCAACCCATCTTCTTCTCGGCATGGTGCCTGAGCGTGGTCACATATTTTGCCCATGCCTTTCAGTTGAGAATAATGGGAACCCAGGGTGATGAGTTCAGATCCAGACATCTAACTCGTAGGTGTCTAAGGCTAGGCGATAGGGTTTCTCCTTAGCTATTCCTTTCTTCTCTGTTCATTGTAGTCCTTTCCCAGGCCCTCGTGTACCATCTGCAGTGTGCGTTTGCCCTTTCCTATTAGGTCAAGTCAGGGATAGGAGCCTTGTCACAACACACATACTTTATCCCCTAGCCCTCAAGAGATCCAGACATCTAACTCGTAGGTGTCTAAGGCTAGGCGATAGGGTTTCTCCTTAGCTATTCCTTTCTTCTCTGTTCATTGTAGTCCTTTCCCAGGCCCTCGTGTACCATCTGCAGTGTGCGTTTGCCCTTTCCTATTAGGTCAAGTCAGGGATAGGAGCCTTGTCACAACACACATACATTATCCCCTAGCCCTCAAGTGACTGACCCATGGATTTTAGGGGTCCAAAGAGTTTCTACAGTCACGTGGGTAGCCCCGGGTGACATTGACAAGAAGATCCTATTGCTCTTTACCTTGTCCCAGCTAATCTCTTGAAGGTGAGGTTTAGCAGCCTGTGAAAGAGCCATTCTGTAATGAAGAAAGGTTTCTAAGATTTGATAACATATCCTAATATTACCCTACCATTTCTATCTCCTTAAGACCTCAATTTCTTCCTTCTCATAAAATTAACAGAGAAGTTTTGCAAAATAAATGATGTCATTAGAGTCACTGTACAATGTCAATGGAGAACACAAATAGTCAGGTTTGCTGTCAGAGCATTGGACGATATGTAACTAAGAGTGCTTTGTAAAATAAATAAAGATAAGTTCTGGCTCCACAGAGAAGCACAACAGAATAGTCCAGAAAATGAAACAAACTTTTTTTCCCAAAACTGCAATGCAGTAATTGGTGTCCACAGCCCAACAAAATGGATGAAACATAAAGGCCATGTTGATCTTTTGTGTTGAAATACATATTTATCTGCTTCTCACCATGCGAAAGGACCAGACTTTCTTAGAGAAACAAACACATTCTGGGCTGTGATTCTCAACAGAAGCTGTGAACCGCTGCAAACGGACATAATTACATTCACTCCTACCTTAGAGAAGGAACCTTGCTGTTTTGAAGACAAATCAAAAGAAGGCCCTAAGCTACCTATAAAATGAAGAAATGAGGCATAATAAGCTCAGTTATTACAGCAGCTTGTGATTTTATCAATTTCATAAACCTCAGAATAAATCTCAAAAATCCCAAATAGCCCATTGTAGCCTAGCTGCTCTGTAAGTGTTTATCCCTGATTGACACAATGATAAAAGTGATGCTCATTAGAGGGTTTTGCCTCATTGGCAAGGATTTGCTTCTTGTGATCTAACCACGCTCTCTGTCCTCCATCTGTCCTCAGCAGCAGCACCGACACTGACTCCCACAGTTACGTGGGGCTGGCCCCTGTGTGAGCCGTTAGTGTAGGCTGCCTCTGCACAGCTGAAGGCAGAGGTGTTAGACTTCAGTCCTGCTGGATTTCAGCCTAGCCCTGCATGTTCTTCTTAAAAAAAAAAAAAAAGAAAAAAAAAAGAAAAAAAAAAGAGGGATCCAAAGAAAGGTAAATAGGAAGATCATTAGCAAAAGTACAAAAGAATTTTTAATGTCATAAAATATCCTGGTGAGACAAATTCCCTGCATTATGTGACAGTTTCTGATCAATTCCCGTCTATTGCTGAGCTTGTTGAAAGGGTTTAATTAGCGCTATCTAGTAAATTGTGAGCATTGGTGTGTTATTCAACAGTATGCCTTTCATTCTTGCTTCCCAAGAAAGTATATCCAAAAATACACGACTCACTTTGCTTCTAGGTGCAACAGGACTTAAGTCTTATGATCAAAAGGGCATATGAATTTCAAAAATGGTCTTTACAGGATATCAAAATTAACTGTGCCACTTAGTGGAGAATTTAATGTTCTGTACAGTGAAAGCTTGCTGCGTGCATTCCCTGTGTAACAACTTAAATGGCTTTAAGTAACTGTGATTACAGTGTTTCAATGAGACCCAAGTATATAAGAAAATCAAGCATCATATTCTTTAAATAATATGGCTAAAATGCTGGTAAATTCACTCTTATCATACTCTAGGTATTAGACAAAAAGTCCCCTATTTACACTGGATAATATGTACACATTTGGTTTGTGGAATGCTCCAACATCATATCAATTTCTCCTCTGTGAAAGTTGTAGGAAAACAATTCTTAATCATCATAGAAATATATATTCCCAGCCATCAATACATTTAAATATTCAGTGTCTGGATATAAAGAATGAAGTGTCACTAAGTTGGTCGTGACTCCACATAATCTTGAATTAGTGGGATTAGTTTTTGGTGTCTCTCTTAAGATCTTCTTAAGGGTGCAGAAATTAAAAATTATAAATTTCAATAGCTGATCACTTCAATCTGTTCATAGAAATATATATTCCCAGCCATCAATACATTTAAATATTCAGTGTCTGGATATAAAGAATGAAGTGTCACTAAGTTGGTCGTGACTCCACATAATCTTGAATTAGTGGGATTAGTTTTTGGTGTCTCTCTTAAGATCTTCTTAAGGGTGCAGAAATTAAAAATTATAAATTTCAATAGCTGATCACTTCAATCTGTGTATATGTTTGCAAGTGTGTGTAAATACATATATATATATATAAAATTATGTATATATTTATCTCAGACCAAGAAGGGTGCAGAAATTAAAAATTATAAATTTCAATAGCTGATCACTTCAATCTGTGTATATATGTTTGTAAGTGTGTGTAAATACATATATATATATATAAAATTATGTATATATTTCTCTCCCAGACCAAGAAGGTGCCTAGCAATTCTCTATGTCCAAGTGAAGACAGTATAGGGCTTTGAAACCCTGATTCTTCTGAGAGTGCCAAGCACCCACCCTCATATCCTCCACAAATCAGGAGACTCTCACTCTTTCAGGCAGTTCAGGCGTGACCCCAAAATCAAGACAGCTAGGGTCACTCCCACATTTGTAGCTCTTGTCCCTGTTGCTGGAGCTCACCTGCAGTAGGTTTGTTACCTGCCTCCCCTTCAGATGCCCTCGTGTCTGAGCACAGCTGATATGAATTGCCGAGGAGTGCTGGGCAAGGCAGGCAGTATCTCACAGCTCAGCAAAGGCATAAGGGGGTCAGGATCTGTTCTCCCATCGGACACGCTCGCACCCACGCAGGCACACACATGCACGAAGCCACTGTTCGCGTCCTGTGCCATTACACTGGGATGGAGAGGGACAGGGTAGACTCCCAGCGTAGGCAAGGTTAAACCCAAGCTCTGCAAGGGGTGTGTGGTAGCTGCATGCACCAGTTGTGGCTGTAAAAGGGTCAGAAACTAGGGGTTTCGTTTTTATCCCTTTGGGCTCTTCTTTCCCTCCGCCCTCTCTCTTTGAGGTATCGACAGAACAGTATAGAAATGGATATTTCGATTTTTCCAAACATGGCTCTTTTTTTTTCTTCTTCTACATCTGCCCGCCCCCGTTCCCCCTGGCCTCAGTTGCTCACATCAGGACCTGTTCTCGAGTCTCTGGCAGGCGCAAAGCGAGCAGGCCACCTCCAACCAAAGCAGAGGAAGCCAGAAGGATGGGAACCACTTTGGTTATCCCTACGAAGGAGGCAAAGATTGAGTTCCCCAGGATGGCACCAAACTTGCAAAGCCCATTGAGGATGCCAAAGGCCGTTGCCCTGCGGGGAAGCAAAGCAGAAAGCAATGGTTAGGAGGGAGGTTCTCGGCATAACTACAGATGTGGATGGGTAATTTTGTGAATGCTCTTATGTTGCCCAGGCTACGCTTCTAGCAAGTAAAGCCAGGCAGAATAAATAAATAGATAAATAGATGTCGCTGTTTTGCATATCTATGTGAATGAGGAGAGTGTCTGTGTGTACTCATTTCTCCTTGTCATCTCAGCTTCTTCCTAGCCCTAGAGGACAGTCTTTGCCCTCCCCAAAGACAGCAGGACACAACCTGCTCTAGAGCTTGTCAAAGCCCTTCCAAGCACTGGCTGGAGTGGGTTGTCACCAGAGAAACAAGCCGGGCTCTCCTCCAAATCCTGCTTCGCACAGCAGCTAAAAGCACACTGCCTTCAAAACACAGTCCTTCTCCTTCCCTTCTGGCTTCACCCAACAGCCTGAAAAAGGCAAAAAAGGCCTATAATGATGTCGTAAGGAAAGATTTCATCTGCAGCACATTCTCCCAAAGTTTCCTGTGCACGTGGTTGTCTCCAGCTTGGGGAGGAGAAGGCTGTCACAGTGATGAGCTATGGCAAGAGGCTGGGGGATACAGTCCGAAAGGCCAGACCTCCATGCACATCCATGGAAATGACAGACTCCGTATTTCATCTCCCTGTAATTTCCATACACCCACGCGACTCCCTGAGTACAAGCCACTGTGCATGCAGAATTATGCTTGCAAATGTCTCTGCTGATCCAGTATAGCTGCAGGACTACCCAGCCCTTAAGGACTGGTGAAAATAAAAAAAAATACACCTCCCCCATCTACATGTATCTAGAGTGAGCATTGACTTTTTCCATCAGGAACTGAGGCCAAAGTCAGAGGGTGGAGACTAAAAGGAGAAATATTCTGAGCACCTTTTGTCAGTGGGGTAGAGCTCCACGGTGATCACATCCAGGGCATTCCAGGCGGCAATGCTGGCCCCGCAGAAAAGGCACTGCCAGCCAATCATTGCCGACTCGCTGTTGCCGAAAAAGAGAAAGAAGCAGCACACTGCCGAGATCAACATTGAGCCACCTATGGGGGTAAACCAAGAGAAAAATGTTGGCACCAGTTTCCCCTGTCCACAGCTGAGCAAACAGATTTGTTGATAAAGATGACTTTCAAGTGATGGTGTTTCACCCCAAAACGAATTAAATCTGCAACAATTCAAAAATACCTTGATGCTGCCTATCTGTCATTCTCTGATGATGGAAACCAGCCTGAAAATGTTCTCAATGACCATCTGATCTTCCTGATAGTCCTGCTCTACAGAGACTCTGAAGACAGGCTTTTCCAGGCAGGTTTCCAGCATCTCAGTCATCCAGATGGACCCAGGAAGAGCAGAGGCAAGTAAACATGAAAGTCAATGAGGAGGAAGAATCGTTGTGAAGGTTTTTCAACTTGAGTTTTGAGTGAAGAGCTGGTGCATTTCATATCATATTGAAATCACTTGACACGTTTCTAGTCTCAATTAGGATAATTTACAGTCAATTGTATGAAGCACTTGAGGTCTCTTTTAATTATAAGAACATCATTAGATTTCATGGCACATTTGCACAGGAGCCATAATTTTATGAACACCACTGAGGGAGAAAGTGAGAGCATTCATGCTCAGTTAGGCACAGTTCAGATTCAGAAATATTAATGGCTACATCACTGCCTTCTCCCCCATTGGGAATTTTCACCTGAAAGATGCAATTTTTCCCAAATCAAAGTATCTTTCACTGGAAAGTTCTGTTGTTGCTGAAATATCTCCATTTACTACCATGAAACCAAACTATATTTTTGTTTGTTTGGGGTTTTTTGAATCAATTTGACACCATCCAAAATAATTTGGATGCTGATCTGGAACTAAAATCCTTTATTTTGGATGTTATATTGCATTTTGCCACTGCGGTACCCTGCCTATTAAAAGCTGCCGTGCAGGACTCCATATCCACTTCTCCTCCAAGGTACCTGGCCAAACTACATCCTCCACTGTGCAGTATGGATATTCCCTCTGCTGAAGAGGTACAGTGCAGCATTAGGGTCACCGTGTGTGCACCAGGAGATCTGACACTTGGCACAGGAGGGGGTTTAGTGGCACGTGATAAAACTGAACTGAAGTCCCAGCGAGGCACATAACGCAAAAGCGAAATTCAGATTTCATGTTAAGCTGACCAGAAATAATATGTTCAACAGAGTGATACGGGTGGGATGCCAGAAGGCTGTTTCAATTGAAAATTCCACAGTGAAATGTTTCAACATGTTGTTACTAATTTTTGTCCTGTACTTTTCATTCTGCAGAAGAAATAAGCCTTTAGGATTCCAGCTGTCATCTCAATTCCAGATGAAAATGCTGAAATGCTGACATGTTTGCAGGGTGGACAATCTGACTCTCATTCAGCTTTATTTAATTTCTTTCCCGCAGACCCTCTGGTTTGTTTGGGTCTTTTCCAAATTCACTACATGAACGCTCATTTTCCCCCCCAGCATTCATTCCTGACACACCGGTGGGGGTTATCTTGCTTACCTTAACCTGTCTGACGGTGAGGCTATGCTAATTAAACTTCCCTCTGTTCTCAGAAGAGACAGATAGGTGAGCTCAAGAGAGTAAGTCATCCCTTACCCCTGAGCCACATCCCTGATTTTATTAAACTCACTTGGCTGTCCCTCGAGGCATGATTCTCATAGTACCTGGACAGCAAGGGCTGAACCCTGGAGGAAACAACACCAGAAATTCGCGGAGTGATCATAAAGCTGATAAGGTGATAACTTATTCCCATAACGCTAAAGGGTAGCATCTTGCTTGGCTGTGACATAGTCAGTTAATCTACCATATGCTCTCTGAATCTGTTTGTAAAATCATTTGAAAATCAGAAAACCAAAAGAGGGAACTCCTCGGCTGTCAAGCAGCCACATCAAACAATCTTGTGAATATTCATTGCTACAGGCAAAGTGTTTATTTATTTATACAGAGCGCTATGGACATCAGCATCAACTCAACAGCATCAAGAGGTCCTTGCTTCAGCTCCGACCCTGTTGTGCTGAGAGCTGGATAAACATACAGGCTTTGACATAAAAGCCAAAATAAAAAAGGTGGATGTCACAGATACACAGAAAAGCAGGGTGAGGAGGCGTGGAGCAGGTAACTTGCCCACTGCCACAGAGCAGGTCACTTGCCTCACCCTGGAGTCTTTTTACCCTTCTGCTCCATTTGATATGAGAAAGACTCATCCCCACCTGAGCCATCTCGGCTTGCGTTAGTGTGTGCAGATGCAGCAAGACCTTCACACTGACCTTGGCTCTTTGCAGAGTTGAGCTCCCACCCACGACCTGTGTCATGCACCCATCATCCCCACTCACCGATCATCTTTATCCTCCCTATTTTGTCCATGAGTAATGCAGAGATGATGTTGCCCGGCAGCACAGACAGGCTGCCCAGAAAGCTGACCAGGTAGATCAGGAAATCATTTTCCTCCTCGAAGTCCAGGTGACAGCCTTCCTTCTCCTTCAGAAATGTGCTGTTTATGAGCCTGCAGTTGATGAATATGTGTTCGTAGAGATCTACGAGGGAAAGAGGCAAAGTCTTGATCCTGCTTGGCTAATCTCCCTCCATACATCAGCAACAGGAGTCAGGTTCAAAACCAAATCAAAGATCTGAGAGGAACTCCTCATCGAATGGAAATGGCCAGGATGTTTTTATTTCAGTGGCAGACTCCAGCTGCATGCTTGGCACCTGGTGGGTGTAAGCTCATGCACTCCTTTTACTTGTGGAATCACCTGGACCAGTATCCCCATGCCACAAGGATGGGCAATGCAGGCTCTTGCTTTCATGGCATTATGGTTTGTTCTCTAATAGAGTAGGAATGAAAAGCTTTTTCGGGATAAATGAATTAACATTTTACCGCTTAATCAACCATAGGTCGGTTAAAATTGTATTTTAAGCCAAATTTTTTCAATCGAGCTGTTAAAGTGCTAGGTATTTTGCCATTACTTTAACCTGCCAAGGTCTGAGCACAGACTTTTGCATTTCCCATGCAGCAGCCAATGACACCAGAAGCCATGTGGTTAAAAATGCTGATGGAGCAACCTGAAGCCTCCTTCCAAATGCATCACCCTATTTTTTTCCACCATCACTCTCATTACCCAGCACACACACAAACACACAGATCCCTATCATCCTTTCTCCCAGAATCTGAGAATAGTTTCTAATTACGGAGATGAAACCATAGCAGGAATCCCATTACCAGTGTTGTGAAAGACAGTGGAGATGATGGTGCAGTTTTCGAAGAAGGTCTCGCTGAATGTCACATCTTCAAAGTAGCATTCCTCAAATAATGAATCCTCAAATCTCACTTCCTTGAATTTCATGCCGATAAATCTGTGGGGCAGGAAACAGAACTTCACTCTGTGCTTTAAGGTATTTTCTACACCATATAGCATGTAATGGCTCTTTCAAGAGGCAGAGCACTAATGGCAATTTCTAGGGTCATTTACAGAAAAGGTGTTGCTTGAATGCATAACCGTCTTTCCAACTCCATGCTTACATATTTTGTATTTTAGTAGGAGAGATGGATTTGAAGAGGGTTTTTTTAAGAGAGATGGACCTTTTAGGATTTCTGGCAGTTTTTCTAGTCCTCAAAATAGTCACATCTAAGAAAGTGTGCTTCTAAGGCTGAGTGGACACAAATCCTCTCACTTTCAGTACTAGTCCATCTGAAGAAGACATAATTTCACCCAGTGCATGGCATTTTCTTTGTGAGCTGACCTTGCTGCCTGCCTTATTCTGCCCCTTCCTCCAGCATAAATACAAACAGACATTATCGGGAGCCCATTCAGCCATTTAGTGAAAGGCTTCTGACAGTTGTTTAAACTCAAAGTGATTTTTTTAAGCAAAAATGCAGTAGAGTTTCTAGAGAGAGTGGGGAGATTATCTCAGTTCTGCTTGTAACCATCTCTGTTCGAGGACTATTGCTTATCATGTAATGAAAACAGATTACGCTAAAAATAATCAACTGTGTCAGGTGATTGATTCCTCCTCTGATGGGAAGCTTGGCATGTCTGACCTACCTGCCTGAAGGATGACACAATATTGATTTACCTGTGAAATTTTGCAGGGACACTGAGAAGATGTATTAGTTAATGCATAGGCATGTTTGGAAGATGCAAGGAGCTATTAAGAGCAAGCATTATTGCTCTAGTTAAGGAGGCCACAACTGTCACCACATAAAAAGCCTTCTAACATATACCCAGAAATTTAATTGAATGGAGCACTTACAACACAGTCGCGCATGATAGCTGTTTACACCATTAAATGAGCACTGCAGGGCTTCTTAGCCAAAGCTACTAACAGATATTATTAATGCTCAAAATACCACAAGAAGACTATTCAAGTCTTTTGCTCCATGTAGAAGGTCTCACAGGTTACAGCAAAACTTAAGCTGTTCTGCATTTGCTCAGTAATAGCCTGTGATGTATTTACTCCCAAAGGCTGTTAGAAGCCCTTTTCCTACAGTTTGCTTTCTTAACATCCATCTTTAAAAGTCATATAGCAATGTGCTGGTGTTCAATGGAGTTTTAACTCACAGCCAAGGGCTGGCGGGAAAATGCAGCTATCAATCATATTGAGATATGCTCTGAGTATTACTGAGTACTACTGGAATGTAGCTTGATCAGTTTTGAGTTATTGAATTGGAGAGGACCAAGGCAGGAGAATAGTGATGTACATCACAGTTTTATGTCTTCATCCTGCAAGGTGCTGAGCATCCTCAGTTCTCAATGAAGTTAGTGAAAACTGAGCGTCTCCTCTGGGCATAAGAAAAGGGTCCCCAATCCCTACATTTGACCACCATCCACTTTTCACCAGACTTTGTTTGGCTGCTCGACAGGCAGGGCAATAGGAATTATGGGGCTAGGTTTGCACCACCAAGCACAGCTCCTTACTGCAGGGGAGGTCTGTGGAAGGACATGGGGACACATACTGGGGTCCCCAACCAATGTCTATCAGATATACGCCAAGGAAATGGAGACAAATAGTTTCTGAGGGGAGAGGAACGACCTGGCTGGGCAATGAGGTATAGTTTCACCCGTGAAGATTAAAACAATGAGTGTTTTGTGTAACATTGAACGTCCAGTGGGACCTCCCCACATAGTGCGAGGTAGCTGGAGCAACACCCTGTCTAGTCTATCTGGGGCAACGGGATCTCCACAGAATTTACATAGGGGTATTTTTCCACCCATTTTATTGGGATTTAGAAAAGTAGTAACGGCCTGCTACAAATCACTAGGATTTATATTGCTGTGGAACATAGAGTGATTGGGGTCCAGGCTGGATGCAGAAGAAAAACCACCAGGCCCAGCCTGAATAGGGGAGGAAAGGGAGGAAAGCAATGATATTCTGCTAGAGTAACTTCACTGACTTCAAAGCACTAAAAGAGAAGGTGACACACTCATTTTGTGGGGAGATGCCGGCTGGTGTGGCAGAAGCACACCAGTACAACTGGCCATGACACAGCTCGCACTAACAGGCTGCAGGACGGAGTAAGTCATAGCGAGGACTTCAAGGGAAAATAGTTTTTTATTTTGGAAATGCAGGAGCAGAGCAGTTTCATGACAAGTGATGGTCTCTGCTGCCCAAGACCAGTAGATGTCAGCGTGTGCTAAGGAAAGAGAAGCCACCTCTGCATCCAGAGCTGCCCAGCGCAGTGGGTGGGCGCCCACCGCCCTGCTCCCAGCAAGGGGCTGCTGGAAGCAGGGCTCCTCACATGCATCCCCTTGGGTCTGGAGACGTGAGTGGCTGAGGCAGAGTGTGTGAAAAGCAGGAGAAAAAGGATATTTGGTCTGTGGAAAACTGCTTTTGGGATTTGAGAGACTGAGTGTCCCAAAGAACAACAGAGATTTTCAAGTTGGTGGAAAAAGAAAGAAAGAAAGAAAGAGCTTTCTAGGAATGTATTTCAGTTCACATGCATCGAACCAAGTTCTGTTCACTTACTTATCATTCCTGTATTCCCCATTTCTATGGATCTGGTTTTCCAGGGTGAAATTAAAGGTGAAGTGTGACACTTCTTCCTCATCAAAGATCTTCACTCGGGATTCATATGCCTCTTCTTGGAGATACCGGATCATATCAGGGAACCAGACAATAAGGCCATAGTAACTATAGCAGGATGGGAGAAATACATTAGGGATGCAAGATCCTGGCACTGCAAATATCACAGTGCTTTTCCAATGATCTGCTTCATAACTTGTAAACTTGTTCAATTCCTAATGCAAATGCAAATACATTTCTAATACAAATTCTTGCTCAGCTCTGACACAGGACTGAGCAAAATGCCTCCCTACTCTAAACACTCAGCTCCTCTCAGAAGCATGTTGATCCATTTTTGTTCACTTAAAGCACAACAATTCGTTTAAGTTTTAGTGACATTGACTCCTTGGCTGGGAAATACACCAATGCGCTATCCTTGCTGCCCAAGAGACCAGCAGAGTAGCAAGAAATTTGGAAACTCCCCCAGAAGGCAGATTTCTGTGAGAGGTTTAAGTGAGAGTTAGACAAAACTTCCCTGTAGTTTAGATTTAGGCTCACCTGAATATTTTTTATCTAGACTAAGGAACAGCTGAGAATCAGGTAGGGTTGTGGGGTTTTTTGTGTGGACAAGGTCAAATGAAATATCTAGAGGTGAGAAAGTCGATATACTGCTGCCCTGCTGACCACTTCTCAAGTCCTGATTTGTTCAAAGCACTTGCACTCTCATATAAGCAATCAGATTGATCAACAGTTTGTAGGAGAGCAAGGCTTAATACACAAAGACTTGTTAAAATAAGACCAGGATTAATTTTGTAATAGTTTATTTAAATGTGTAAATAATTATTCAAACTCTGAGGGCCCTCTGGTTTCCTGAAAAAGTCAAAGAAGTACCGTACCTTAAGGCCATTGTAAACCAAACCACAGCCAGCATCAGTGTGTTCATCCTGTACTGGGCTGTTAAACAATATAGCACATTGTCCCAGACCTACAAATTCACAAGAAGAAATTAGCTGCAAGGAAACCCTAGCAAACACTTGACAGATTAATTTCTGAGTGCATCATAAATTTAATGTCAGTAAAAAGGGCTCATTGGGGGAAGGTCAGATGTGTGGCTTATATTGAGCGTTTGTTGAAAATTATATTTATTGAGATAAATGGCTTACAAAAAGATCACTTATTCAGCTATGTGCCAGGGTACTTGATCTGAACTCTCTGTAATGAGCTGGAGTGCATGACAAGGACTGGGCTGGGATGATGCAGTGTCTCTCAGGTTATATCAGTAAGTGTGGATATGAGCCTGTTCTCAGACCCCCTGACAATTTTGTCTTTTCAAATATATGTATGGTCTCAGGGGTGCTTTCAAACCGAGCTCCAAAGCTCACTGAAGAGCAAAAACCCAAACACAGCTGGCATTTTAGGAGGGCTAAGATGAACTCAGGTAGGGATGAAGCCAAGCAGAGCAGGAGGGAGACCAAGATCTGCTCTTCTTGACCTGCTGCAGGAAATACTGCCAGGAACATGAGGGGACGTAACTCTTCATGCTTTTAACTCGCCACATAAATACAGTAATAGTATATAGCACCTGCATTGCTATTAATTAATAAAGACTCTCCTTTACTTTAAGCTCACTCTCCTAGTCTAGAAGATCCAGCAAGATTTTCCACAAAGTTCTGCATGGGCATAGGTAAGCAGCATGGCATGTGCGAAAGGTTAAATTAGCTGAAGAGACAATATAACATTGTTAGAAACTCAGTCTCAGCAGGAGCAAGGAGCAAACACTCTTCTGAATCCACTGCGGGTGATAAATTCACTTAGGCTTGGGGGAGAGGGGATCAATATTTATCTGCCCAGAAGGAGAGTCGAGTGCTTGGGGCTGTAGCTCATCCTGGAAGCTCTGCCATTAGCACAGCTGGACTACCAGCTCACAGGGGCATTTGGGGGCCGGGCAGTTTGCGGATGCACACATTTGCGTAGAAAATGCAATCAGATTACAGCCCTTCGCAAACACCAGCAGATTTTTTTTGAGTGAGAGTCAGGGTTTCAAGACACGATGACCTGAAGCAATGAGGCACTAGAGCCCAAAGCTCAAAAGCCCCTGGTATTTTTTCTTCTCTTTACCTGTTTGAAAGTGGTAGTGATTCTGACCAGCCACCGCTGATACCAGGTCCCTGTTGAGCTCTGGATTTCAATAAATTCATCTACTTGCTTTGGAGTTTTGATATAAGAAACCTGGAAAAGAAAAAAAAAGGAGAAAAAAAATACTGGACTGAAGTTTCCAGAATTGATCTTGGGTGGATTTTAAATTCCACTGTCTTCTGGGCAATGTTTCCACCTGATATCCCTTACTATCTTTTCCTTGAATGTTATCACTAGCAATTGAGCTAACTGATTTAATTACAGCAAGTTATTTTATTACAGAAAGAAGCCTGCACTCCTTCCTTCCTTTCCTCCATCCCTCCATCCTTTCTCTCTCTCCCCCCTCTTCCCCGAAAATTTTAAGTGCATCAAATCCACTTCAATCTTTCATTTATTGGCTAATGTGCCTGTGCACTACCTTATTTCTCTATCCCTTAGATTCCCGCTAGAAATCAGGACTAGGCAATTATCGTAAAAAGTATCTCCATGGTCAGCCACTTGTATCCGCATCAAACTGTGCCCTCAGGATCTGTTTCTTCAAAGACAACTGGCACGAATATTTCTCATTCAGCACCTTTTAAGTACCACTGGCAGAACTTCTATGACAAATGAACATGTAGATGGGAATCTTTGAATCTGAAAATGCATCCTGTCATCAAGTGAGCCCACACCATGCAATCAATTGCTCCACCGAAACACGCTGATTTTTCAACACCACACACCTGAACCAGACTGCTCAAGAAACCTTAAAAATGGGTCCCAGAAAATATTTGCTCAGTACCTTTAAATAAAGGACATATTCAAGGAAACCACGATCTGTTTGTAAACACGAGAAGGAGGTGAAAATTTACTGAATAAATTTCTGAGTATGAATGAGCTCCTCGGCTCAGCTGTGGAGTCTCTGTGTTCCTCTTGCTGGCACCGTTTAAATGTCAGATCTGGGAACTGTCCCGGTACCAGCTGACTCACCGCAAACTGACAAGTTCTGGCCTATCAGAAAAACACAAAATCTGACAGTTTGTGCTACACCAGCCGCACTGATCGTCCGCCCGTGCCAACAGATGTCAGTAAATCTTGATTCAGCCGGCGCGCCGTACCTCGAGGTGCGATACTGAGATCAGCTCATGCTGTAGCAGTCATGACACTGTTAGATGGAGTAATGAGCACTAACGGGTGCTGTACAGCTACTCCTTCATTCTCCTACTCAGCTCAGACTCTCACAGTGCCCTATTTTGAGGTCTTTTTTTTTTTTTTTTTTTTGAGTTTCAGTCCTCTTTTCCCCCCACCACACAGCGGGACTGGCCAGCCCAGCTCGGCATTACAGCAAAGCCAGGTAGGGATTTAGAGAGACAGTCCCTCTCGCCTTTGCTATTAAGGTTCACATTAGTCAAAAGGTCGGTAGCCTAAAAATAACATATGCTCCTTAAGTTCCTACCTGAACCTGCACACAATTGTCATGCACTGATACTAACCTTTAATTTTCTCGAAGATTCATTCCTGAGGGGCCCTGTTTCCTGACAACCCTTCTGAACATGAAGCCTTGCTCTCCTTCTTGTTCAAAAAGACATGTTTTACACACAACTTTATCTCCTTTTCTCCATCCTTTAAGAGTGCGTGTCCTTTCATCTTTAAAAGCATAAATCAAGAGCTATTCCCTGGCTGGCTCACTGGGAGTTTACAACTGAATTATAATAATTTGCAACTAACCCCAGCATACACCTTTTACCTGATTTTACTATTAATGAAGTCCACTGGTGTGACCTTTTTCACAACAAGCAGAAGACTAATGAGTAATAGCCACTCATCCCACTTTCCCTTGGAGAGATTAAAGATTGGGTATGAGGCAGGTGGAGTTTGGGAAGCTCATTAGAAGATACATGAAGTTTAATCAGAGTTTGATTAGAAGCCAGAATGGAGAAAGGAGTGACTCAGATCTCCCACATGACTAATATCTCTCTTATTTGGTTTTAGTCTCTTACAGCAGACCAATTAAATGTGTATGTAATTGGAAAATCACTGGTCTATAAACTGTAGAGTAACACCAGGAATGAAGAGTACTCACTGCAATTCACAGGATTGACTAATTCTTGGAAAAACAGACTGGCATCTTACATTAAATGCACAAAACGTATCTCAGAGTCCTTTTTCTGATTGCTGGAGGAGGTCACGTTGAAAGAGTCTCAAGGAGGAATAAACTGGTGCTGTGCTGCACCAAGGAAGGTATGTCCAACCTTTCTTTTTACATGCTGGTGGCTTTGTTAAACTCACCGTAAACACCCTCTCTGGCTCACCCTTGGCCCGCATGTTGGTGTCATGAACTTGCTTGAGGATCATCCAGGCTTCATCATGTTTACCTATCTGAAAACACCAAAGAAAAGGAAAACAAATGTTGGAGTTCCCAGCTCTGTAATTTACCAAAGCATAGAGAAACCAATTCTAGGGGTCCAATATAGTGGAGAAGCACAGATACAGCACTGGCTGCATTAAACGCAAAGAGCTGAAAGCACGGCTTGTATTCACAGAGGGCAGCATCTCTGTGCTGAAGAAAGGAGTTACCCTAAAACTGTCTGAGGCAGGAGCGGAGTCAGGAACAGAGCTTTAAAATCAGACAAAAGAAGAGGAGATAGATAAGGAGACCTGGGCTCTAATCCCACCTCTGCTAAGGACTTGCAGGGTTAACTTGAGCTAGGTATTGCCACATTTCACATCTGTGAAATGGGAATAAAGAATACTTGCTTAAGATTTCTGAGGTTTATGTATTTTACTCAGTAAAATGTACTCCATCCTTTGCTGTTCCACCAGGATTCAGTAGTGACATGCCCAAACTCTGTGAGATGTTTTCAAAATGCCTTTGCTGTACTTATACAATTCCCAGCACTCACCACCTTCTTTCTGTACCACGTTTGGCAGTGAAAGACTAACCATCGTTGATTGACCCCGTAGTCTGTAGTCTTTGGGGTTTAAGCGATCTGTGGAGCTAGGGTAGACATGTGGGAGTGGTTTTGCCTCTGAGTTTCTGCTATACGTGTTTGATGGGACAAAGAAAGACAAACGGTGACACATTAGGGACCAGCTATCCTCTGCTAATATCAGACTGCAACATTCAGATGAATCATCTTACCTCCAGCAAAAAACGCGGGCTTTCAGGCATGAATTTCAGTGCCACCAGGGAGGCGATACAGGGCAGAGAGCAGACAAGTACAAAGACTCTCCAGCTGTGGAAGTGGTACTTGGTTCCCATACTGAACCCCCAGCCTGGAAACAGCAAGAGCCACAAAGTAAAAAAAACTGACCAGGCATTCTGAGTTCTTCTCTCCTAAAGCAGCTCTGAACTTTACAGCTCTGTATGACACGGGACAGGTTGAAAGTTTGCTATTCTTAGTAATGACGGCTCTTAGAGGCTCAATAGCATGCTCAGTAGATAACAGCAAGTGAGCTCATGTTCATTACAGAAAATGGAACATTCTTGCTCGGGCTCTGCCTTTTAAAAACCTTCTTTTATCTTTGAGTTTAGAAATCACCTAGTGATAAGAATAGCTCCATGCAGCTGTAGGCAAGTAAGGCTGGAAAGGGTAGAGGAATCAGGGCCATAATTTATTGCAGCTCAGTGATCTTGCAAAAAGTTTACAAAGGCTAAATTGTCTCTGATCTGAGAGGCACGTTAGAGACGGCTCCTTTCCACCTCGTACCTCACACATGTATTTCACTTCTTATGGAAGCGAGCTAGGAAAGCAAGTTTATTCTTTTCCAGACCTACAAAATCTGAGCTGGGATTCAAACTTAGAAGAATCAAGATCCTAATCCTGCATTTGAGATTCCCGCTCTCCTGCTTTTTTCCTGATGTCTGACCAGGTCAGTTATTCCCCTGCTAAGGACTAGAAAGTACAGCATCGTTCTTACATTGCTCCATTTACTTTCCCTAGACTCAAATCTCAGAAAGAATGTTTAATTAATTTTTTTCTATAAACACTTTTATTCACATAATAAGGAAATCATAAAGCAATGGCTCTTGCAGAGGTCTCATCTGAGTCCGTCATGGCGTTCTACTCATTTCCTGAAGTTCCAAAATAGTAGGGCAACATGGGAAATCAAAAAGAGAAACTATAAAAACACAACATCAAAAAGTCATCTGAAAAATAAATGTAATGTAAATACATAAGTGCTTTTTAAAGCAAATGTAGTTGTAGACAATAGAATTATTTCAGCCTGACACCGCTATGCAGTAAGGTTGCCTATTTGTTCCAACAGTCTCTATCATATCAATCAAAAGCGTGAACATTTCTTTATACTGAGTGTACTTTAAACATGGTAAAAATGAATTGATAGATAGGTAAATGTCAGTGTTTTTCTTCATGGTCTTTGTGGCCTGTCCTACTTTCCTCCAACAGGATTTTGCAAACAGCTGGTGTGCTGGTTTTGGCTGGGATGGAGTTAATTTTCTTCACAGTAGCTAGTATGGGGCTGTGTTTTGGATTTGTGCTGGAAACAGTGTTGATAACCCAGGGGTGTTTCCGTCACTGCTGAGCAGTGCTGACACAGAGTCAAGGCCTTCTCTGCTCCTCACCCCACCCCACCAGCGAGCAGGCTGGGGGGGGCACAAGAAGCTGGGAGGGGACACGGCCGGGACAGCTGACCCCAACTGACCCAAGGGATATCCCACACCATATGGCGTCATGCTCAGCACATAAAGCTGGGGGAAGAAGGAGGAAGGGGGGATGTTCGGAGTGATGGCGTTTGTCTTCCCAAGTCACCGTTAGGCGTGATGGAGCCCTGCTTTCCTGGGGATGGCTGAACACCTGCCTGCCCATGGGAAGGAGTGAATGAATCCCTTGTTTTGCTTTGCTTGCGTGTGCGGCTTTTGCTTTACCTATTAAACTGTCTTTATCTCAACCCACGAGTTTTCTCACTTTTACTCTTCCGATTCTCTCCCCCATCCCACTGGGGGGGACTGAGCGAGCGGCTGGGGGGGGCTTTGTTGCCGGCTGGGATTAAACCACGACAGCTGGTGTCACTGGATACTGAGGGAATTAATCTTTTCCAGCAGATACTTGTTTCTGATGTTTTCCTAAGATATACACATAAGTTACGAGGAATACCATGTGACATGCAGATTTTTGCTCCTCAGAGCACGAATATGTTTCAGAGTCCACCCACCTACTTTTTCTCTTCCACTTCCAGCGCTGGGCAGGGAACCCATGCCATTCCTCAACCCAATTAGGTGAAGTCAGATGTGACTCCAGCCTCACATGCTGGGGAGATGTGTCACCAGATACACAGCCCCCAGAGTGTTGACACTTGGCTAAGGAAAAGAGTGTGTGCTGTGCTCACTGCTATCATTCATAGCACCCAGTAATTCCCTGATTAAAGTTACTTTTTTTTGATAACTGGATCAATTTTTGCAATATAATCTCAGTCCAGTTTTCCCTGAATGCTCTGACATTTAGATTAAGAGCTCAGGCTCTGGCAGTGTAATTCAAGGGGTGTATTTGAAGCTTTTATGCAAAGCAGCCCTCATCTGTCCTATTTACAGCCTTAGTATCAGTCAATCAATCATGCAGTCAGTTTATAGACCTTCTGTGTGCACTTCAGGTATCTATTATTTATCAGTGTTGTTTATGCTGGGATGTGTAAGGACTGACTAATGTTACCTGTGTGGGCTTTTGGGGTAGTGTAGTGATGCAGGAATGTGGTGTTGTCAAAAGTCAATAGCACAAAACAGTTACCGTAATGTGGGATGATGCTCCAAGCCATTGCTGAAGCAAAAATGCCACCGATCATCCAGAACATGCAAAGCCAGCTCAGGTGTTCCCCCCTCTTCTCACGAGATAGGAATTCAGAGAAATAGGCAAACACGATGGGGAGGGATCCCCCAATACTGAGGAGAAAAAACAGCACATGGGAAGAATAAGAGTCTTTTTCAATGTCTTTGTAGTTAGAATTGCACATATGAAGAGGGAAGGTCACACTCACAGATGTGCTGCACAAAAGTGAGACTTGTAGGGAAAATGCAAATCTCTCTTTGGCTGGACTGGTCTTAGACATCAAAGATAGACAAGATCCTTCTCATGCTCTGAAAGCTGAATTTCCTCTACAGTTTATATAAAGCCAGTGTAGTGCCCTGCTCTTCACCTAGACATCTTCTCTGTTGTTATTTTGTGATCACTCATTTTAGGGAGGCAAAATACAGGCAGGTGATGGGAACTGCTGAAGGTCTCATTGGAGGCCCTGGCAGTAAGGATTGTAAAATGAGGTGGACGTTCATCAGTTTCATTTGCCTTTCTGCACAATTTGGGCAGTACCAGAAGAATGTCAATGACCAAACTTTCTTACTGCTAACACTTTAAGAGTGAGGTAACGCAACCACACATGGCTAAACAGCAGTGCTGTCCTGCCTCGGTGCCAGAGATGCATCTCCAGAGCAGCCTTCCTTCTCCCACCCTGCACACCCAAACTGCCGAGCTGTGACAGGACTCCTCCAGGACATGGGACGAATTCACCAGTTACCCACCCAAGGCCCGAGATAAGGCGGCAGAAGAGGAAAAATCCATATCCCTGGACGAAGGAGGAGAGGAATGCGAAGGCAGCGTTGATTGCAAGTGATATGATGAGACATTTCTTTCTTCCCAGTTTATCAGCGAGGCCGCCCAGCATGACAGCCCCCACCATCATTCCTAAGTAGACTATCAAGCCTAGAATAGAGACAGAGACAATGAGTTTGGTAAATGGGTAGAAATAGTATGCAATGTAGAAGCAGATTTTAAAGTGCCCGTATGGCAGCTGATGTTGACCTGGTATTCTATGCAATAGAGATACGCCCATCCCCCATATTAGCTGTCTCAGGTGCCACAAACTCTATCCATTGGCGAAACCTAATTTTCCCATCTTCTGCCCATGAGCTTGCATCGCTCCCTACTGCATTGCTTCATGCAATATAGTCATACTCTCATTTGACCAGACCCACATCTTTCTTTCCCAACCTCACTGCTCACATATCCCCTGCACGTAAGCAATGGCCAGGCATAAGCAGCTTAGGATACACGTGTCCTAGCTATGTGCCACCAACGATACAACAATATTCTGATGTCTTAACTCCACTAACCCTCCTGAGTGCAATGGGACTGAGGATGTGTAGGGAGGAGGCTCTCTCCAGGTACTGTTTATACTCAGAAAGCTGTGAGAGCAGAGGGACTGCTAAAGCATGGCTAAATCTCTTTGCAGGTTACCTATCCTACCCATGCTTCCTTTGCAGTATATCATCTCTTTCACTCTCTGCTTTTCCAAGCGTTATCTGAAAGGATCAGCCTGTTACCGAGACTCACCTTGTGTAGCACAGCTACTTCCTTCGTTACTGGGTCAAGATCTGGCATCTAACTAAAGGATAACTTACAGAAAAGAGTGCAGTCTTGATCTGAAAATTTCAGAAGGGAGAACCTACTGCTTGTCTTCACAGTTTGCTCTAGAGAGTTAGCACTCTGACATTGTTAAGAAAAATGGGTTCTTCCTTTTAACTTGACTTCATTAGATCTTCTACTATGGGGTCCTCAAAAGACAGTTTCAGTGACTATGTTTAGTGCTGGGCTGAATAGGAGAGAACGGTTTTCTTCTCCCTGTACCCAGCTCACTATATGCTTGCAAATCTGGCCTAGAAAACACGTCAGTTGTTCTTGGCTCTACTGACATTGCCACCAGAAGGGCCAACTATTATATTGCCTTTTCCTTTATCTGGGTGCCAGTGTAAATAGCAATAATTAATAATGCTCACAGGTCCGCTCACAGGTCCAGGATTTTTTTTTTTTTTTTTTTTTTTTTTTTTTTTTTTTTTTTTTTTTTTTTTTTTTTTTTTTTTTTTTTTTTTTTTTTTTTTTTTTTTTTTTTTTTTTTTTTTTTTTTTTTTTTTTTTTTTTTTCACTTATTTTATCTACTTTCCAGATGTAGAGACTTCAGTGAGCAAGAATATTCCCAGGAACAACCACAGGCTATGGTCCTTTTGCTGGCAAAATTCTTGTTGAGGCCTAAAGGAGTTACGATATGAAAGGACAGCAGGATCAGATATTAAGCATTTAAAATCTAATAGCAATCAGTGCTGAAGGGTTGGAAACATTGATCAGCTAGAGTGAAATGATTTGCACTGCTGTTAAGGAATAACATCTGAGAATTAATCAGTCCAGCAGCTGGCAGCACGTGGACCAGGTCTTTGAAGGCTGTATTGGCCTCTGGGCTTCAGATTTTTGTTTTAGGCTTGTCCGTGAACAGATCTCTGTTCATTTCTTTGAGTCAGGAAAGATTTAAGGATGGAAGGGATCAGGCAGGAGCATAAGTCTCCAAGGCACCTCTGAAAAAGCCCAGATGAGGCAAGACCACAAGGAGACAGACTATCAGCAGGTAGATCTATACTACTGAAGTTATTCTGAGTTTCACAGTGCAAAGGACAAAGCCCTTCATGCTTTGTCCCCTTGCTGTGTGTGGCTGCGGCTGCCTCTGCCTTAGCACTGCAGGACCAAAACACTTGGTGACCAGGTGACTTTACAGCATGCTCTGATGGCTCTGCCAGCTGGTGACGTGGAAGGGTTTGGGGCAGCACATCCAAGCACATTGTTACTGCATTGGCAGCTCCTTGGCTAACAAGCTGCGTGTGTCTCAGAGCTGTCTACTGCAAGCTAGTGGTCCACAGAGTAGGAGCAGTGTCACCATCACCACATTTCAGAAGAAAGTGGTGGCAACCGCTGTGTTTCCTGGGGAGCACAGAGGTGCAAGAGGCTGTTCCCAGGTCACCTATATCATCTCAGACACCATAGGCAGGATTGTAGTCTATGCCTATTGGCTGCACAGTCCTGCTGTGGAGATCCTGATGGCCCTGATCATGGCTGGATATGATCCAGAGGAGCTGAACTATGTCAGGGTGGAGGAATATCTGCTTGTCAAAAAGCAGAACTTGCAGTGCAGGGGGTTCCTGAAGGAAAAAATGGTGCTTGGAGGTGCTTGGAGGTGCTTGGAGACTGGGGCCATGTCAGGTTCAAGACCCACCTGAGCAGTGGTTGAAGGAAACACTATAACTCAAGAAAATCAGCAGTGTTCCCTGCATCCCTGGCCCCCACTGAAGGCAACGGATGCTGAGCAAGTAAATACGCTGCCTTGATAACAAACATTCCTATTCGCTGACTGAAGAAATGCAGCTAAAATAAACATTTTTCAGGCATGGTTGAAGAACATTCCTTTGGAGGGTCAATCCTCACCTTGAACCAAGTGTTGACTTCTCCTGAGAGCCAACACCTTCCCCAGGACCTGTTCTGGCAAACACATCACTTGGGAAACAAGGTGATGATGAATTTTTTTGCAATTCGTTAATGTTTAAACAAGACGATCAGTCTGATGGCTGAAGGCTGTTCTATGCCATCCAGCAAAGCTGGCTGAGGACTAATGCAGAGAGTTATTTGGCAGCTGATTGTCTTTCTTTTGATTGTGAATGCTTGCACTTGATTTGAAATGCGTTACTAAATTAAAAACTATGCAGCAGAGAGCCACTGCAGCATTTGACGGCTGCTTGTCTCACATTGATCGTAAGTGGAAAAGTGGAAAAGTTTGGACTTCTGAAATCTCCCCCGTTCCACAGCAGGACAGTGGGGTCACCTCTCTGTGAATGGTTCTGCTTCCTTTTCTATCCACGTGGTGTCTAATGGGCAATCAGGATTTTGTGTGTCAAAGGCAAAAACACCGTTCTTGCCTCTTAACAGCCTTTGTACCAGAACCATGGCACAGGATTTTGCCAGCACAATTGTACCTCCACCGTAAGCGTGTGGCTCTGTGCGATCAATACCCACACTCCCTGCCCTACCCTCCTCACCCCAGCTGTCCTGGTGAGGTGATCTGAAGCTGGATAAAGGTGTTTCAGATACTGATCCTGCAGCAGTCAGAGAAGATACGTACGCAGCTGGGAATCTGGGATCTCTTTCTCTATTAACTTTGGTCTCCAGCTTGTTCACTGAAGTGCAAATTACAAAGGAGAGCTGAGGCAAAAAAACTGGTTCAGACCAAAATCTTTCTGAAGGAAGAATCTTAATGCAGTGCTGTAAGGCTTAATGCTTTTACCCTGGCTCCTGAGCTACATTTAATGGAGCAGCTCTGATTGCAGCCAGCAAATGGAAGTGATGGTGCACCCTGAATCTACTCACTGGTGCATCGCAGCCACCCATCTGACAGTGAGCCCTGCCAGCACCGTGTGAGCAGCTCACAGCACAGCTCAGCCCACACCGCCAGACCCCGATGAGGAAGAAAAAATGATCTGCCAGAGTTAATTTCTTTTTTTTTTCCGGAGAAAATCCCTGGATGGCAGATGTTCATCCAAATCCTCTTAACAACAGAAAATGTCCCAGGTCAGGAGGAGGTGGAGGAGGTTGTTACTGTCTTCTAGCTGGTGATTTACTGCAGCCGAGTACCCTGGCTGGTGGCAGCGCAGCCAGCTCTCTGGCCAGGGGAAGAGTGGGCTTAGCATGGGATGTGGCAGTGTTTGAAACTGGGCATCGAGAAGTGGAGTGGAGCTGCTTTTGTGGGCAAACCCCTGCGGATTCTGACTGAGGAGCCCAAATTTATGATGGGCATCCATCAAACAGTGAGCAACATAAAACACAGCAGAGCTGTTAATATCACAAACTCAGAGGATGTGTCTTTAATTGGTTATCGTATGTGATAAACCAATGGATGCATTGTCCCTTAGAAATTTAAAACAATGAAAATCTGTAATAAAGGAAACCTCAGGGATGACCAGAAGACAGTCCGCTTGGCCAGTTTCTGAGGGGAAGGATCCCAGTTACAGAAATGTTTGCTTCAGGACTGAAACAAAATCAGTAGGACACTTCATTATGATGGAGAGGTCTCTTTTGGGAAGACTGCATGTTCTGGCTAATATAATTAAACATTTTGGGGCAGCTGCTATAAAACACTCTGTCAGCTGACAGATCTTGGGACCCAAGGTGCAGAACAACGTCAGGCTTTGCAGATTGCTGTGTCCTGGATTAACAATAAGGTGGCAGGGACCCAGGCAGGAGTGGAATAGTTGCTCATAAAGTCTCCATGCAGGAGAGACAGTCTTCTGGAGAACACAGCGATGGTTGTTACCTCTGAAAGAGATCCAGCTCATATCAAGGAAACTAAAATTTTAAGGAGAATTAGACCAAGAAAAGTGATCACTAAATGGTATTTCTTCTGCTGCGTTACTTCTGTCCACCAAATATTCTAGGGAACAACATCACAATGGTCTGTACCAGAAACCTGACTTCAAACCTCAGCTTCAAACCACTCAGACCTAGACTGTGCTAGGAGGGCTCAGCTTCCCAGTTAACACAGGCAGTGGTTAGATGAAATGTTAAGGGCAACTCTGAATAAGCCATTATTTGCAGACTATTCCACGAGTAATGGAGTATAATGAATGCCTGTGGGAAAGTCTGTAATAGCATCCCATAAAATCTGTGGAAAACCAAAGAACAGAAATTCTAAGAATAAATTTCGGGTTATGACTCATCCAATGTTGAAGTTATAAGGAAAATATGTGACCACTGACTGGGCTTATTCCCACTAGAAAAGAGGTAACAAATACATCACTCTCACTAAGAAAAGCCTTTATTGAAGTTGTGTGCTCCATGTTAGACAGGAATTGTGGACTTAAAAGCTGAACTTCTAGGAATAAAGAAAGGTG